CCGAACCGAAGCCGATAGACGAACAGATCTCGTAATATTACGATGCTCGAGAAAGAACGTTATTAAATATCAAACAATAAATTGTGTGAAACAGCATTAAAGACGTTCAATATTGGTTAGGAAATTAACGATATAAAAGGGAAAGTAATTCAGATTCTGCTGTTCCAACCTCATTATGTAATCGCGACAAGAGCAAAAATTTTCAACTCACATATTTTTGAAGGAAATGCCGAATTAATATCAAAAATCAAGAATCTAGACTTCTCTTCGATGTTTCTTTCTGCTTTTTGTACTTTCAACGCCAGATCGGCAATTTAATTTAATGTTTGAAGATAATTTAATCTTACTTGTTGCAGATATGCGAAAGACAGACGAAGCTTCGGAGAGGACTGATGCACTGCGCCACACTTCGCACTCCTAACCCTTCAGCGATGAATCTGATTGGTCGAAATGGGAGGACGCCATAATGGAATTGCTTCCAAACTTTAACACGGAAACGGTTCCGTCTAAGAACGGAAAGATTCGTTGAAAATTATCAACGCTATATTGAAATAAGGTTAAGATTACTTTTTCCAATTTAAAGCACCGAAATATAGAAAAGAAGATAGAAAAATGCATAAGATATTAATGGTATTTAATAAATTATCGTCATCAAAGCAGAAGAAATGAGAAATATGTTATTTTAATTCGTATCTATATCGGTAAAATGAAGTATAAATTTTCAGCTTACGCATTTCTGAATACAATGTGGAAATATGTCAGAAATCATGATTCCGGTCTTCTCTTCAACTTTGTCTTCTGTTTTTCGTATCTTTGATACCTAATACACAATTTAATATAATATTTTAATACTGCGTCGAGGCCACTTGTACACGAGCTGCGAGTCAATCGCACAAAACGAATAAACTGCGCTCTGCAGAAAATATGAGGAACTAAATTTGTGGTCTGTTTTACCTTTTTGATGTCTTTTGCGAGTGAATAATGAACGGAGGCTTGTAAGTACATCATCCCCTGGGTGCTCGTTTTGTTCTATCCGATCCGCAGAAATGTTTATATTATGAATAAATTAACGCAGGTGAGTCCAATCCGCTATTTTCCTGACCGTCGACAGATATCAATTTCAATATTTTATAACTTTTTGACGATTTGAGTAATATAAAAACCAGACTAACATTCTTTAGACCTCCTGAACACGTCCCTCTTTATTTGCAATCTGTTCAGTAGGAACGACGTAATTTGAGAACTCGTTTCTGAGGATTTTTTTAGAGACTGTCGGTAAAGTTTACAACGCTTGATTCTAAATAGAGTAGATGGCGTTCGTTCTCAAGTCACAAACTCAAAACCTCTTGAAAACAAAGAGGTGACTCTTTTTATTACAATTTTCGGCAAGCAAAGTTACACGGGTTTTACTCACGTGACGTGTGACATGCATGCACTCACACTTTTTGGAGGGCCTCCTGGTTTTTTAGCGCGGACCTCCAAGAGTGCCGATCGGAAAATATGCACGCACCAATCAGAGCCACTCTCGCGTCTGATTGGCGCGGCATCAGCCGCGATTTCGCGATTTGAAATTCGTCATGGAACAATGTAGGTATCCCAAAATAGTAAATCATTTACGGTTTAATCGCGTTTTAACCGTACAAAATTTAGTCATACATAGAAATGTATGTCTCGATGCTGCACGTAATTCTTACGAACCCGTCTTAGAATCGACCCTGCACAATAGCTGACCCACATCCTATCCGCGACTTAGCCGCTCGATACCCATGGCACGTAACATTTTCGGAGGCAACGCGATCTGATTTGAAAAGAGTAACGGCAGTCGGATTTTTCAGGCACGACGACAGGCAATCCTATCTGCTTCCTCTCTGTCGATACTCCTTAGCTTTTTAACGCTAGGACAAACAATTTCAAATTAAAAATAAATTCTCAATATTCTGAGACTTATGAAATATTTGAGTTATTCTAAATTTCTTATGGGGAAGCTATTACGTGTATATAATTTCATTCTGTTTCAATAACGAATACTTCAAGATCGCCGCTGTACAATTCTAAAATTCTACAACTGAAATAGCTGAGATTGAGTCATCACGAATTCACTGTAATTAACAAACGCTTGGGGCCTTTTATTAGATTCCGCACAGTATTTCATGAATCTCATATTAATAGATTTGTTACATCATCCCGGACTTACTCCCTCGTTAGGTGAACGATCGAACGAGATGAATGGTTTCGTCGGCGGATCGGGAAAATCGGTGAAAGTTTTCGTGTCTGTGGCCAAAGCGAACCACCATCGTGTCAGAAATAGGTGTCACGTGACGAGTTCGAGAATCGGTTTACTTTCCTACGAGCACGATCTTCGTAGTTTGCTCTCGTTTGACGCAACGGAGATCACCGGTAAGATGAAAGAACGGAAGCGTGCAGACATTGTGTTCCTTGATTCTATGTTACGTATGAAATTATGGATGGCGATTTAAGTAGTGCGGAAACAATATTATTGGAGGTGTCATTTCCGCTCGCTAAATGATACCTTAAGCTGTCGCAATGTCCACTTCCTTGTACATTTTCATTCCTGCTATAAAACATTGCTCGAGCTTAGCGAAACGAAATTCTTCATTTGATTCCATACATTTGTAGAAATCATTGATAATTGGGTTTATTATTAGAGTTACGCAAGCAACGAGAGAAACGACAGTTCATTGACCAACTTAATTGACTCCTCCTTTCTACAAGGTGTTAAAAGGAAGACACGCGAAAATTGAAAGATACACAACACTTATTACAACAAAGAATTTCTCTTCTCTCTTAATGTTTAATTCAATGACATATGATTTCTATGTCATATATAAGTATACGTGTTATTTGATCACATTGAAATTGAATGAAAAATCTAGCTCTTAACTTTAGAACTATCTACTCAAAGATACTCAAGTTTTCATGATCACCTCAATATTCATGATTGTACGGTTCTCAGGTGCTATTTAAAGAAACGTACCGTTGGCAGTCGTCACGAAGTGTCATTAATATCCCTGGATAGAATCGGCGATCTCGATTGACAGCTGCTTACGTGACGATAGACAGGGTTACGCCGGACGTTTGAAAATTTTTATGCCCACCCAATATGTAACGTGTCCCAGTTGCTTGGTTCACTTCGAGCACGTGCAAACCAGTTCCGATGCACCGCGTCAGTGCAAATACTTTCAACCGTGTCTCCATTTTCCGCGTTCGACGCCTTCCGATTTCCGTCCGCTAGGCGCGTTTTCGGGGAATCTTTCGCGGCAAACGGCGACGCGATTCGTTCACCTACTTCTCGACAAACTGGAATTTCTCTTTTTCGTTTACCAGCCATCGCGAGAAGAGCTTGTCGTCAAGCTTGTTAGCACTGAATCGTTAGCAATTATCTGTAACCAACATTGCTATTCAAAATCGGCATACAAGATCAACGAACACGATAAGAATCTTCGTGGAACCAACAAATTACAACTTTCAGAAGTCAGTCGATGAACCAACGCTGATCGAAGGGGGTTAAACGAATTCCAACATGGTCAGAAATATTCAAAAACAAAACGGTATACCGTACGAAGCAAGACGAATCGTGGTATCGAGCAATGTCCACGGTATGTTTGTGGGCTAAAACTTGTATCTAGGCTGGTACGAAATGAAACGAGCACGTTGCTGCACCATGGGTATCGAAGGTCGAAATAAAAAGAAACAGCCAAAAGGAAGAGAACGCATAACTCGTTTCCGTGAACGAGCTGGTCCACACGATCGCTTTTCGGCGGTCGAGCAAGCCGGTCGTCGCTCAACCTACCTGACCACCGGCTAGGTCAATAGTAGGTCAATGAAATTCATTCGGACAGCCCATGTTCGTCACTAGAATCCCCCGATTCTTTTCAAATTCCATAATGGAAAATCATCAATTCGAAGGAAACTAAAGATCAATTTATTTTAATGCTAAGTCCCGTGCGTCGCCGACTTTACGGCGGAGTCCTCGAGGACTATAGAAGAGTATGGTATCAATATAATTTTGAGGACCTCGGAAAAAGTTTCAAAGTCCAAATTTGATCCATCTAATGGTATTGAAGGCCAAAATTCTAAGTTTCCACTAAAGATAGAGGGAATAGAGCCTAAGTCCCGTGCGTCGCAGACTCTCCGGACGGGTTCTTGGTATCCATAGGAACTGTTCTTTGCCAGTTTTGCAAAGTCTTCAGCTAATTTCTTGATCATCTACATCTTTGGTATCAATATCCACGCGGAACGGCACATTAAAGCTTTCTCCAAGCCGAGAAACGACACGAGGAAACACAGTTCGTAATTATTAATAATCTACTTCGTCCAGGTGTCACGGATGTTCGGAGCGGCACGTCATTGTAATATCGTTCAGGGAAACTTTAAATCAAGACTCAAGACTCAACTCTGAATCAAGAACATTATCGTAGGCGGAGAGCCATGATAACAACAGCTTTATCGTTCGTTTTTGTCGAATGTAGGTTGCTGGTGTAACGCGTTCGAGCCTCCAGTCCGGATAATGGGAACACCTTCACCGACGATCTGTTAGTGAAAACCTCTCTCGAGGCGGAGTTATTCGAGAATTTGTATCAGAACAACGCTTATCACAGTGGCTGGTACATCTTCTTTTAATCAAAAATAAGACCTGAATGTGTAACTTTGAAATGAACCTTAGAATGAAACGAGATAGTGAGTAATAAATATCTCATTACAAGCTTCAAGCCGATACGAAAAGTTACGAGCACGAATGAACCTGCTTAATATTCCTCGCGTAGATCTTCCGCATCGAACCACCTCCCGTGCGTCGTTTTTCGCGGTACGTTCTAGATTTCACTCTCGCGTTCCACTTTTTTGTTGTTTGTCATCGTTTATCGTTGATTCGGAAATCGAGTCGCCCGCTTCGTCGAAAGTCCACGATCACCGTTTTTCTCCACCATCCCCGCCAGCATTCCTAGACGTCGACAATCGAACGATAATCGAACTGGATCACTTGCGAGATCGCATCAGACCGGTCTGAACCCGCGTAGACGGTGCAACGGTCCATCCGATTCGCAGTTTCACCGGGAAATCGTTTGAATACAGTTCTGCTGGACAGTTACAATCAACGTTTTCTTAACGGTGTCGCGTTTCCAATAGAAGACCTGAAGTTTAAATCAAATCGAACGGACTTTTGTGAAGACCAGCAACTTCGAAGACTGTAGTCGTCAAACACTTTCGACGACGTAAACACGAAAACCCCATTACATTAAAACAACTTGGAATAGTGTAGACACGGTAGCTCGCACGCTTTAAGCATGAAAAAGAACACGGTTGGCAGCTTTTCCATCGGCTTTCACCTGGAGCGAAGGCAAATCGTGGCCGGGCAAAGGTAGGGTCGCGTTGCATACGAAATCTTGAACGTCCATTGGGCCGGCTACGCCTTTGACCACGCGAGCGAGCATAACCCGAAGCTTGGCTGGTTGCAGCCAGAGAGGAGACGATAATGACCTTCCTCGGCGTACCCGTGGACGGAGTAGGAGGGCCTTTGACACACTTGACGCTCAGGTGAATCGTAACCGAGAGCCGGGAAGCTCGTGGTTAGTTTTAAGCCGGAGATCGAGCGGAGCGCGTCTCGCGAGAGGGAAGAGACAGTGGTCGAAGAGGATAAGGACGCGGCATGAGGACCAGGTGACATGGACATACGTAGAAGAGATCGATCGGGATTGCGCGAGGCGTGGAAACTCGGCGAGATCGAGGAGCTAGAACATTGAAGTCGAAAAGAGGCTGATCCATCGAGGACAGAAATCGTTAACCAGGTCGAACCTAGTGGAGGGGACAACGGATGCAATAAAAGGTGCACGTGGGTTGCTTTGAAGAAATCAAAAGTGCAACTAAGTTGTATTTCTTTGATCTACATAGAGATACTTGGCGAGTTTTTCAATCGTGTTGGTGAGAAAAATAGGACAATTCGTGACACTGTGAACAAATCTTCGTCGAACTGAGATGTATTCAAGGACGCTGTTAATCGCCGCGTGTTTATGCGTGGCACGCGTTCATTCGCAGTTCTTCAGTTTCAAAAACTTGAAAGCTTACACGAGAATCTTTAAGCTGGACGGTCTGCTGGCGAACGAGACCGGTAACGAGCTGTGGAACGGATTGCTTAGAGACTGTGACCGATCAGTAACGTTCTCGTGTATACAGAAAAACGCTTACTCGTATCTGGACAACGTTTTCGTGGAACGAGATAACGTGACCGTGTTCGAGGGGCTGACGCTGACGAAAAACAGTCTCGATTATGGAACGTGTCGGAAAAAGGAGGAGCAGGACTCGCTGGACGAGAACCTAGTCGGAGGATCTAGCAATGATCACTGCTCGAACGAAGCGGAAAGTGAAGGAACAGAGGGAGAGGAAACGGGTCGACAATTCGAGGAGGAACGGACACCTTTGGAGGAAGTGACCGATGCTTTGCGGAAAAGAGCCGTGAAATTTCTTGCTACCAGAGATTACGAGATTCGATTGCCGGATTTCTTCTTCGAGGGTGCTGCGATCAAAATCAGTCCTCGCGAAGTGGATGAAAACGGGGCCTTAGTAAGGCTGGATTTCGGTCAACAGCGTTTACAAAGCGAGGGGAGGATTTTCTTCAAGAAAATCAGTAGGTTATAGCGAAGAGGAGAATCGAAGAGAATCTTTATAAAATTAACTAACAATTTCCTTATTTCAGAAAAATTTATTCAGAATAAATTGCTGACGAGCTTGCTGGCGCTGCTGCTCATCATCAAGCTGATAAAAGTGAAATTCATGTTCGTGATACCATTCCTGTTCGGCGTGGGCACAGCTAAGAAGCTTTTCCTGAAGCTGTTACTTTTCTTCATACCCGCGTTCGCGCACATTTTCAAACTGTGCTCGAGTTATTACACCACGCAGTCCACAAAATATCATCACCATCATCATCAGGTAAATGTAGATGCTAAACATAATCATTGTACCAAATATTATCTTCTAACGTTATTCTATTTCAGATAGCGCATCATCATCACCACGTTCCAGTTCCGGTACCAGTTCCAACTTACTACAACCATCATCATCATCATCGCGACGAAGAGGAGTTCGATGGTTACGACTACGCTCATCCTCATATTCAATACCGAAAAGACATGGAAGAGCTGAAAGAGTGGGGCATCGAACCGTACGAAGAGCCTTACGACCAACATACCGAACCCGTAGCTGCAGCCAGCATTCCTGGCCGAGTTCCAGGAGTACTTCCAGCACCTTTTCCAGGACCCGTGTACCCAGGAACGTACGGTGTGCCGCAATACGCGCCAAACGCTCAACCAGTTGCGCCTCCTTATCAAGAAAAACGTCCCCCCGTGTCGGCTCACAATTTAGCCTACTCGGCCTATGCTGACAATCGTCGAACGGTTGTCCAACAACAGCACGTAGCTCCCGTTGTGAACGTTCCTTTAAACCCTGCCAATTTACCGTCAACGATGTTGCCGACAGCTACGAACGTGAAACCTCCTTACACCGTGATGGGAACGCAAAATGTGCGACAGGTGTCTCCGAAGAATTCGCAAACGGAGACGAAAGTACCTGTCGTGAGACAGAGACAAGGTTACGACGATGAATTTTACGGGCCAATTGTTGGTAGACTCGAGGAGATCTTTAGGCAATTGAGATTCAACGACGAGCCGTGCAGGGAGAGGCTGGTGTGCAGCATGTACAAGAACCCGACTGTTTACTCGCCACACAGTAATCTCGTTTCCAACGAACTCTCCAGGTAAGGAGGCAATGTTGAAGTATGTGATTAGAACGTTGATCTCTCCGTCGGGAAGTTGGTTATGAGAATAAACGGAAGTCGGTTCAAGATTTCGAGGACGGATGGTTGAAATATTTCTATTAGTTTGAATAGTATATGGATTAGTATTACAAAGATAGATTTCTTCTGTAGACGCTGTGATTTAAAATTATCATAATTTAAAAATTTCCAAATTCTATAGGAATGTGCCTAAAATTTCGCACTGACCGATAAATCGGGCCAAGTAATTATACGTTTATCCGCGTTCGAATTTCGATCGGCACAGTCGTCGATCACCGAAGAGAAAGGTGGCCACCGTTCCAAATCGCTCGAACATCGAATCACGTTCCACAAACCTGTCTCTTTTTCTCGTTACGTTCTTTATATCGAACGCTGTTCACGGTCATTGCCAAGCAACAAACAATACCATACCAAGCGCAGGTGGAGATATTCCTCCGACCAGAAACACGGAGTTATTAGTTCCGGTAGGAAGTGCGTAATGCTTGTGCTGCTCTCTAACTAAACTAATCATCCTGTTAGCGAGTCTCCACTTGCTAAATGGCGAAAGTAACACAAATGTTTGTCGAACGAATACGCTGACCCGTGAATCGTATTAAGATTTACCTTTTCATAAATTATAGATAGCTAAATAAAGATATCTATGTGTGTAGAATTTGTTATTAATTTATTATATTTCTCTTCATTGCAGAGACCCGCAGGAGTTGAAACGAACAGGAACCGAAAGCCCGTCTAGCCAGAAATTTCACAGATATCTGAACGCGGCCAGATTGGGTCAAGACGGTGGAGACTGCTTAAGAACCTATCCGTGCCACATAAATACCGAGTAAACCTGACGGGGATTTTTCTTTCCAATTTTAAGGATCACCGAATACCAGTACGCGCAAACCACGCATTCAAATCTCAAGCGCGAGCATTGAAGTCTCCTATCCGGGCGTTGAAGTCTCCGGCGCGAACGCGACCGGTTGATTCCGCTAAGCAATCGCGCGGTCAATTTAGGGCACCACGAGTGCGCAAGTTCTGCTTGGAACACGAGGACGGGTGCATTCTTTTGGTCAAAGGATGCCACTTGTCGTATTTAATGTAATTACATGTTTTGCACTGCGACGAGAATTTTCCGAGAACGTTTTATCGCTAGAATTGGTAAAACGTTTTTCTCGTTCCTCGAGAACTTCAGCGTTTGCACTCGTGGTAATATCAAGGTGGATTTATAACGTGTGGAATATTAAATCGAATGAGAAAGAAGAAACTTTCTCTTCGATTTAATTAAGCATATTTTGTTTAGGGATGTAGATAGATGATTGGAAATTATAATCGATAAAGTCTCAATTACTTTTCCGTTAGTAAATTAAAACTGAGCTGTTGTTCAGCTTGATTGAATTTAGAGATTCTTATTGGAAGAATAAATTCCTTTCTTTTCTGATGAAGTGTCAAACGCTATTGACACCTTGTCAGAAATATACAAATATGATTTCTGTATTAATTTATTTGGGATTCATGTATCGTATGTAATTAGAAAAGAATAATAATTAAGGTGTATACATGGGTGAGCTTGTAACTACTATCCTGTAAATTATTATGTTGAAGGTATGGAATTTTGAAAAAAAGAATTCCTAATAATAGATATAACGGTGTGCTTGTTTCTAAACACGATTGTTTATTGTTACGTTCTCGGGTGCCATACCCAGTTATTTATTGTATTTATTAAAATTTTAATGATGTATAAAAAGTAAATTATGTACTGTACAAAGTGTAAGGATGCTTCGATCATGCTACCTCGAAGTTTCAATGTATCCTATTGTTTTGTTCGTAATAAATTCTGTAAAAAGAAAATCTACCAGTGTTATATTTTATATTCCCTAAACAAAATGATAAATTAAGTTTCATCTTTCTCGTTTTCTATCGAATAGCGTACCTCACAAATTATTATCTTATTATTTTGCAATAAAAAGATTTAGCAAACTATCTCGACTTTTTAATTTTCTTAACGAAAGCAATCCACCTTAATATAATTAATAAAACAGGGTGTGCAGCACCTGTTGAATCAAAAGCTTACGCAAGCGTGGCTTAAATTTCCATATAAAATCACTTTCTAACCAGTTTCCAATTATGCTGATTGTTCCCTCTTCATAAAACGTTTTTACTTTCATCTATTCTCTTCTCACGATCAAAGCTCGAGCGATTTCACCTTACCGTCGTTAGATTTCTTCTGCTCGTCCCGTCTTTTCCCTGAAAGATAGCGTTCCGAAGCTTCGAATCGAATTTCCGAGCTTCATCGTCGATGGTCGCGAAAGCAATTGACGAGGAATCTCAGCTACGCGATAGGAGACCACGTCCAGAACCGGAAACGGAGGGAAGAAATGGATATCGAAACCAAAATCGTCCCACGGGGACCAAGCACGGGAGCCGTGAAAACATCGTCACCCTAGATAATGAGGCTTTCTTCTTTCCTTTCAATCGGCCACACGTCCCTGATCAAAATTCATCGACCGTACGTGGCTTCCATCGGCTATAAAACCGCGTTGTCTTCGTTCGAACCGGCATTCGGTGTTTAGCCTCGCAAATCGGTGGTAACCGTCATGAAGTTTCTTACGATCGTCGCGTCCGTTGCCCTTCTGGCTGCCCTTGCGTCCTCGGAAAGGACGGAGACCACAGCCGAGGCCCTTCGTAGCATTTATTACAGGTGAGCGTGTGAACAACGAAAGAAATTATAATTTTAATAACCATACTATATCAACGATCATCTATCTTGCAGATGCATAGACAACGAAGCGATGTTGTCCTGCGTGAAACCAAAGGTTCTGGCTTACCTGAGCAACGCAGTGAAACAAGACAGACTCGCGATCACCGACGATTTGGCTGTAGTCAAATCGAGGGACTTTCCTGAAGAGAGCAGCGAGGAATACTATCCTTCGCACTATGACTCTGTGGATCCAGCTAGGAAAGAACTTCTGAGGTCTTTGATGCTGGAGAAACTGGACGCGTACCTGTCGAGCCATCAATTAGAGGCTAAGCTACCAGAAGCTATCGCAGGATCCAACATTGTGCCCCGATCCTTGGTCGACAGCATGCCTAGAAGCCTGACTGTCCCTCTGTCGGACTCTTCAAACGGTCAAGGTAACAAAGTTTATTTATTAAAATCTTTCGGAATGTCGAAGACATTCGTTTAGAGGAAATTGTAATAATTAATTAAAATCGCTTTCGTAGGCCGTGGATTCGTCAAGAAGGTCATGATACCGTTCCTGTTGGGTCTGAAGTTCAAGGCTACCGCCCTAGTGCCACTAGCTCTTGCCCTGATAGCCTTGAAGACTTGGAAAGCACTCACTCTGGGTCTCCTCTCCATGGTCCTCAGCGGAGCGATGATGATCTTCAAGCTGACCAAACCCAAAGTCGCCTACGAGGTCGTACACTACGGACACCCTCCAGTGGAACATCCTCCTCACTGGGACACCGCGGCGCATGGTCCCTACAGGGCGTACAGGAAATAGGCTGACACGAAGACTCGACTTCCTCCCCTAGATCTTTCTATTTAATATTTATTCGCGCGACTCTGACTTATTTATAATAAAATCTTTTACATGGTCTCATCAAACCTTGTCTGTCACTGTCACCCTGAAACACCCCAGTCACTTTCGATTTTATTATTTGTTCATCGTGAAAGTTGTCGATTATTTAAGAATTCTATGGTTGTTTTTGTAAGTCAAGTATCGGGAAGACAACATATCGGGTTCATTAGAGGAGAAGAAGTAAAAGTAGATGATAATTTAATTATTGAAAGATTTGTCGGCGTTATGCGTTTTGATTTTATTCGATTTATACGGTTGTGGAAATCCAACGAAAATGGAATGGCAAGAAAAATGCAGTTAGCGATAATTTGGAAAAGCGATAAGGGAAAACAGGTGCTGTCGATCGGAAAGGCGACAACGATGGACGTTACAACGGCCTGAATGCTTATGCTAACTCGACCCAATATTCCAATTACCGTTTCTTTGTGACGAGCCGGAGGAAGTCGGGCAAAGCGGACAAAAGTGTCTCCTCGCAACCCCACGCGTACATTCTCGCACGAGAAACTCGCACGCAACGCGCATTTCTGATGGGATTAAAAGAATCCCCTGAGTCTCGGCTCGAACAGCGCACGCGACTTAATCGGAGTCGCCAGAGGGTGAAATTACCCTTTTAAAACTTCAGTTACATTTATGCGACTTTGAATAATTAATTTCAAACGGAGAAATATTTGTATAAATAACTTAGTAATTCTACTTTGTGCGTTATTAAGCACACAATAGTAAAATATAACGAAGTTATTAATTTAAAAATTTACTAAAAGATTTATCATCCAAAGCTTAGACGTTCAATAAAAATTTGAAGCTCAAAATCTAGGATTTTCAATGGACACTTTTTTCTTTTTAATTTTTATGATTAAGACATTACACTAATGAATAGCAATGGGAAATTCCAAGCTCGTCTAATGAAATTAACGTGATCAAAGGCTAAGGGTGGGGATCGGTGTTAGTATTAACGCGTGGAAGACGTGTGGAAAGTGTCGAGTTCGTGGCATGAATGATCGATGGATTCAATGCCAATGTTACGATGCCATTGGTGCCAAGGATGAAGGGTCTTCTACTCTTACTCGCGCGCGCAACTTCCGCTTTTCTACCCTACAACCGATGCTGCGCGGACAGCGGGCCGAATATTCGAAAGTTTCGGTCCGTTTATTGCGTGATCTGATTGTTTCATCGACACATGATCGAGGTTAATGAAATGAATGATATTTTGTTCACTTTGGAATGCATATACCTATCATGAATTCTTCTTGAGGAATTTAGGAGAGCCCAGTCCCTAAAAGGAATTTCGAACTAATTCCAAGGAATCGATTTCTTTCAATGATTTGTAATGAAAGATGAAAGGTGTTTTTCAAAAAAAAGAATTCATTGTCTTCTGGTCTTTCAAAGTTGCAGTAAATCATCCCCTATCCTCTTCAGAAAATATCAATAATAAATTATCAGATCATTATTAAAAATTCGTGTCATTCTTCATATTTTAATATCGAACATATCTACAAATGTTATGAAAAGATTTTACTAATTTTCCTTCATTTGTTTATCAAAGACATAATGTCACAAGTGTAGAAACCTGTTTTTCCTCCCCCTAAAATCGTCATCCAAAATTCTCCCCTATCAAAGTGATACACCATTGAAATACGTATAATTTTAATGTTCCCTTTCGATATCAAAAGAGTCTCGTGTTTCCTGGTAGAAAGCAAACGGTCGCTTATTAATATCAAAGCACGATCGCGTTTCGTGAGCGAAGCACGCGACCCACAGTCGGATCGGCCGACATCGGCGTGTCATGCGTCGCAGAAAAGCTTTCTTTCGACTTTGCTGATCCAGGGATCGTTCACGTAGTCCCGTCACGATCGTGTCGAGGCCTCGATAATCGAACACCATACTGAACGAAAAGAAAATTCGTGGCCGGATGGAAGTGGGGGCGGTATGTGTTCGGGTGCTCCGCTACTCGGACGTCCAACGAACAAGAACGATGGGGGCTTCGTATAAATAGCCTGATGCCCAACCCATTGGCATCAGTCGTCGTACCATTGTCATTCCCAACGATCGTTCTCGAGTACGAGACGCGCAACAGCCTTTTCTTCAGGGTGTATACCACGAGCCGACGTTTTCTCCGCTAGAATCATGAAGCTGTACGTGTTGTGCGCCATATTAGCCCTGGCGGCCGCCCAGCCGGCGAAGAACGACCTTTGGAAGGGTAGCAGCATGGACCAAATGGTGGACCAGACGAAAATCGAGTGTTCTCAGAAGAACGACGAAGTGTCCTGCATGAAGTTCAAGGTTCTGAATCTACTCGACCAGATCTTCCGCAAAGACAGCTTTAAGGCAAGTGATGGCGATCGTAAACACGACCTCCAAGCCTGATGATTACGCAAGTCCTCTTGAAAAGTGACACCGTTCCATTTTCCTCCGTGGTTTTTACCATCGCTACTCCCCTCGATGGTTCTCGTTTGAAAGTTATTGAGAGCGAATTCGTGAAGCTAAACTTTCCTTTTTGTACACAGGTCTCAGAAACGGTGGAAGTAACTCGCAACTCGTACCCTGTCGAAGAGGTGACCGGTCGTAGCGAAGCTTCCTTACTGGACAACGTTCAGACCTATCTGTCCTCTCACGACGTGACCTTCAAGCTGCCGATGGACTCCACCGTGAAGGTGAGCGCCAGGAACATCGACGACGATCAGCTCACCTTCGACGTGAAGTTCGGCCAGGGTCGTGCCGTCGAAGAGGCTCGCAAATCGAAGCTGAAGAAAGTCGTCATCCCGATCCTGGTGTTCGTCCTCCTCAAGGCTATGACTCTGATACCCTTAGCCATCGGTGTCCTCGGTTTGAAAGCCTGGAACGCTCTGCAACTGTCGTTCTTCAGCTTCATCGTCTCCGTCGGAATGGCGATCTTCCAGTTGTGCAAGAAAATAGCTGCCGACGGACACGGCGCCCCTCTTGCCGCCCATGGACCATGGGAGTATCAGGCTCAGTACAGGTCCTTCCAGGACGAGGCTCAACCATCTCAATATTCCGCTCAGGAACTCGCGTATGCCGGACACGCGCAGTCGTAAAGCGTTCGTTCGTGCGTCTCGTTCGCGACTTTTGTAAAATACCTGTCTTCCTTCTCTCCTCTGTACGCTTTATTTAATAAATTATTCTTGCAACACATATTTATGAACAATCTCATTTGTCACGATGCATAGTCGATGATAATAATCGAACGATAATCAATTTCAGGTGGATAAAAATGGAATTTAACGAGCTTCGATCCATTAGATATGATAAAAAGTATAAGAGAAAACTTAACACTTTGATGCATATTTCATAGGATAATTTTAATAACTTTATCTTTCCTTTTCTATTTAAAAAGAGAACTTCACGTTTCTGTACTGCACGCTGAAAAACTTCAAAGTATTCGAATATGGTAAAATTAATATAGGGTGAAGAGGAATAAAAATTTGGATGCTGGAATTACGAAGAGGCAACCCCGTTCCAAATTTATAATTATCTCCTAACTTTATAATTATGCTACCCACTAAAAAAAATAAATTACAAAATGATAGCAAAAATTATGTGTGATATATGTACCTAAAAGTCCTCATCAAATCTAATCCTCTTTTTCAATTCGAAAGTAATCGAAGAAAGTTTGAAAGGAGAATTTAAATAAACTATACTTCGCATCAAATTACGATCGTGTTGACGTTTGAAATTACCATTTCTTAAACCATAACTTCAGACATTAGTACCATATACCTACATATATTCTATTAAAATTGTTACTGTAATGTTTTACAAATGGTTGCTCTATTAACCATGATTCTAATCCAGGACGTTTATCGTGCATTCTGTAACACGTAAGCGGCCCATTAAAGCTGTTGATTATTTCGCGGATTAACGAAATATATGGTAACGCTTAACATCGCGCATCTGCCTCTTTAATTGAAACGATCTGTCCTTGCCACCCTATAATTGCGCGAAAGACCAAACCGTGAAATTCTCACTTGGGTATCTAAGTTCTTTAACGTGAGTCCGGTTTTGCAAGGAGATTATACCCGATAATGATCAGACGCGACTGGCTGCTTCACGCGACCTGGCAATACCGCTTTGTTTTATGCATATTCCTATGAAATGAAAATCCAGTCGCGTAACCTTCCTGCAGTTTACATTCCCCCTTCCTCAAACACTTTCGTTTCTATTTTTACATTGCATGAATTACAGACGCCATTTAATCTGAAACGTTCGTACGTCCTTTTTATCTGTGAATGCTGAGGATACAAAAAGAACGTAGAATTTATTGGCCTGTTCCTAGGGGGCTGTAATTCTCCTGTGAGCTAGTGTAATGTTGTATTACGAGATTACAGCAATTGAAAATTTACGACCCGAGATTAAGTAAATACGAACCAGGGTGGTTCCGAAGATTAACACATCGACTACTCTGGCGGTCACCGGTTATCAACGCTACAGTATGAGTTGGATTAATTATTCAAAAGTAAAGCAAATTCTCGAATGCCTTCAGTATTAAACCAACGATATAAAGTACCAAATTACGAAATGAAATTTAGAAAATTGACATTTGTATAAAAATTGCAATTACCGTTTGAACATCTATATACATTAAATTTGATAAAAAAGTACTCGGGAATTTTCAAAAAATATTAATAAACATGGAAATAATGAACCTACTTACAAAAGGTTTACTGTTTAGCTGTAAAATTCAGGATAGAGATATGAATTGAAGAGGAACAATGGATTATTGTAAAATCATTTGATTAAAATAATCCCATGGCCAGATCTGTGATGAATGAAGCAAATGTGATATTCTTAACTAAAATATCAACCTTAAAAAATGAAACTCCACTGAACATCTGTTTGTCCATATTGGGCCTAATGAAAGGGTCAAGAAAATCGCACCGTTCGTTACAACCGGAACGGTTATCCGTTCTCCAAACGAGGAATCGTAGAAGGCTCGAGAGATAAGCGGGGCGTTAGAAGGAAGGCCAAGTAAGAGCACGAAGCCGATGAACGCGGGGCAAGTTCCGTTTCCCGTGCGTCCCAGGCGTCGCATGCCATCGTGTACGTGGTACGCGACGCGGGCCGACACTCGTTCCGCGTACGTACACGCTTGTACACGCGTCGGGACGCGTGCACGCACGTATACCTCCACGTTCGCGAAGAGGGAAGGTGGAGAGGATAGTCCCGTGTTCCGTCTATGTGCCAGTGAAATTTGAATAATTTTCCTTCGATCGTCGATTCCCGGCATGCGCGACCGAATAACATAGATTCGCGGGGGGCAAATTAAATAAAAGGGGCGGGCCACTCCTCCGTCAGTCGCAGTTCGATCGGCGATCGCTCGCTCGCACAAGCACGGGTGGACGATCGATATTTTTTTTTATTTTCATTGTTTCAAGCTTCGCGATTAAGCGACAGGTATCGTGAGGATCAGCCTTACCGAAGGATTTACCAAGGATAACGAAAGGATGAGGACGTTCGTAGCTACAGCGGCCATAGTGCTGATGGCAGGAAGTTGCATGGCCAGCCAGGACTTCCTCTCTAAATCCTTGAACGAGTGTATCGCCGCGGACTCTTGGGTGTCCTGTCTGAAACACGAAGTTCTCGGATACTTGGACGAGAAACTTGGGACCAGCACCGAGGCCAGATCCTTAGACACCGTGGACGAGGCGATCGTCGCTAGGACCTTCAAGTACCTGAAGAGTTTCGACTATGGAGTCGATTTACCCTTCGTGGACGCTAGTTTGAAATACAGACCCAGCAGGAGTTTTGCTGATTTGGACGTCGAATTCAAAGGAAACGAAGTGGCTACCAGTCAGGCTCGAGGAATCTTGAAGAAGAAGCTGCTGTTACCCTTCCTGTTGTTGTTAAAGCTGAAACTGAAGGCTTTGATGCCCATCTTCGTGGCTATCATTGGATTGAAGGCATTGAAGGCTCTGGTGCTCTCGAAACTCGCGATCCTCCTCGTCGTTGGATTTATCGCCGTGCAATTCTTCAAGAAGGGCGGCATGATGATGCCAATGGGTACGTATTTAAAAGAAACTATTGTTATCATTTCTCTTTTAAAAAGTGGAAAAGAAAAGTGAAAGCAACGAAACTTCATATTCGCAGGAATGTCGATGGAACCGGCTACACCGGCATACGGAGCTCCACCTTTGCCCTCGACCACGTCGAGCTACGACCCGGCCAACACGTGGGACGGAAATGGACCATATTCCCGCGTCTGGACGCCGACCAACGGTGTGGAAGCCCAGAATCTCGCCTACTCTTACTACTCGCCCAACAGCGGTTCAAGTTCTTACAGCTCCTCCGGTTCGTCCTCTTCGTCTTCCTCCTCGTCGGTGAATCCTGCCAGTTCGTCGAACTACTAGGCACCCTGAACGAAGCTTCCGGTAGCTTCTGACGCTGGTTCATCTATAAATTAATTCATGTTCTTAACGACGAGATCGATCGTTCGTTGTTGTACGATCGAGAGACCAAAGAGACGCACGCCAAATAACCTTGAATCATATACGATGATCGATCAATCGAAGACTGTCGATTATCCATCATTCGAAACGAAAGAAAAACTTGTATTCTTTCCTCGAGAAATCGATCGAGTATACGATTTTGTCCGTTGATTGATTAAATCGAGGACTCGAGGAAAGAATGGAAGTTATTCAATTCATCGTTCAGTGTCACACGTGTACGCGTCGAAGGGTACAATCTTGTAAAAGTGGCCATTTTTATGATGGATAGATAGAAGAATGTTTGGCTCGATTGAAGAGTCGATTCACGAAACTGAAGATTGCTCGTACCGAACGCCATAACGTTGTGCCTTTTATGGTTGTTCACAGATTATTTATTAATCACGCGACACGATTATTTATTCTCCCCCTCGCATTTGTTAATAAAAGCATTTGTATAACAAAACCTGGTTTTATTAATATCACTTTCGTTAATACGCACAAATATTTTAAGTGTTAATTATTTTATGATTGGAAAATTAAATTGGTCATATCGGTATCGAAATTTTCTATGCTATTGTTAAAGCATACTATCGAGTACTTTCTCTACGAATTTCGATTGAAGTATTCCGATCACGTCGAAAACGTAAGCGCCAGAAAGTATGCCGTACCTCCTGCTACGACGTCTACCTGGTTGCTTTTACCTGTCCTACACAATTCAGCCATAATTCAAAAATAAACAGGTGGAATTTATTCTTTCACGTTTTTGCTACAAATAGACGCTTTCGTTTTCTAAATCATTTGGAAAGGAATAAACATAATTACACAGAAGGGTAACATTTTATTAGAGAATTGAAGAATTGAATTTATTCGATGATCAACGAGTGTCTTAATTGCAATTACAAATTAAGAAAGTACCTTAGATGAACCATAAATTGATGCAATTATTATAATCTAAAGGGTTAATTAAATTTCTAATAAGTCGATAAGGTGGAGAACGTTAAGAAATTTTAAATGGAGTCAGAATAGCCTAGAGTTTAGCCTGTTCCATGGTTGGTAACTCATTCCAGGACACCTTTCGTAACCTTCACGAGCTTCGGGACACTAGCTGAAGATGGCGTTTGCTCAGCACCTGAAGAATCACAGGTGTGTTACCTGTCGGTACTCGATCGTGCATTGAATCTCATTTTTCGTTGCACGATTCGCACAATATTACAATCATCGAACACTCGCGATCACTCTGAAGAATCACAATTACATTTGAATCCTCCTCCCTAAATCATTCGTCCCCAAGAGTCGTAAACGAAGAAACAATGAAACAGAACGCACTAAGAGTTTCACCAAACAAATTCAATTCTATGGAATATCCGTAAGGTTTAAATAGGCTCTTCGAAAGGGATTGGAAAATGGTTCTCTGGGTCTGCATTATTATACAAAGAGGCCCACCGTAATCTTCCATTTACCGGCTTTGCGTGACCCTTTCGACGAAAGCAACCCTTTCGTCGTGTGTCTTTAACGAGGCGCGGCACGAACGTCCCTTTCACCCGAGGTACAACAACCCTTTCTCCTTTTCTTTAGGCGTATGGAACGAAAAAACCGCACTGACCAGAAAACGCAGTAAAAATTTATGGCCTTTCGAGGCAGGGCCAAGTAATTTCTCTCTCTCTCTCTCTCGAGTATCGAAACGTACCGAAAGGGTTTAAACCAGCGGGAGGTATACACCGAGTGGCGAAATGGCGTAAGCCTATGAATTCTATAAGAAAATTGACATAATCCGCTTTAGGTATTGCTCCTTCTGACCACTTGACCGCAGGACTTCCTTTCCCAGTAGCATAAATTCGACAAGGGATGGGCGATGGTAAAAGGATCGTTCGATGAAAATTATTTCGGTGAAAATTATTGGTGCTCGACGAAAGTATTTATTAAGCCGTTTGGATGAGCGCAATCATGCGGATGATCATTGTTAAAGAATGATGAAGAGTGGATTAATCATTGGTAGAGCTAATATGTTATAGAAGACAAGAATTCGAAGGAGAGGATAGGCAGGATCGTTTCACACAGATCTACTAATAAATACATCAAGTGCCTAGCAGACGCATCCACGGATTCTTGTTGCAATTTGTTCAATGAAACGGCAGCCTCTTCCCGTTTCCAGGTTATTTATAAGCAACCGACTATCGCCTGGTTTTCTCGCGTGCTTTAATGAATTCCGAAAGAAAGACCGGTTCGACCCGGCAGAACAGAGCAGAGAGTCGGGTGCAACCCTTTTTTCCAGAAAACCTCCTCCTACCGTTCGCCTCGGCCCCGTTTGTACCCCGAATCATCGTCTTAATCGTGGATAGTGGCCCTCGTGCTTCTTTTTTCGGGGGCCGATACATTCTCACGGTCCTCCTTGCTTTCCCGTTTAACAGATTTACGATCCGTGTAGCGCAACTTGTTAACAAAGCGTTGGCTGAAGAACCGAGATACGCGTCGCTACTGTCTTTCTTCTAATTTCCCATATTAACGCTGCATTCGAAACAAAGTCTGCGCGATGTCTCAAAACGTTCTTATCTATTCGCTCGTGCATTCCCATCTGTATTCAAGAGTAATTATAGTTTCTCGCACGCATCGTGTTCTATGGATTCATCGAGTTGCACAAACGTGAACTGGTTCCGAGATAAATTGAAAGCAAACTTCTGTTTGATATCGAAATTTTCGACGCATTCAAATATTTACGTCCACGTCCCTAATGTCCAGGATCCGTGGAATAAAGGTTGATCCTGCGAGCGTATAGATCGATCCGAACAGGATGCGTAACTTCCTGCATCGGTATTCCCTCCCACTCGCGCATGGACACTCGAGGAACCGAAAAACTCTCGGCGTTTGTCGAGCCATCGCATCGACAAGCTGCACCGGGTACTCCCGTTTTTTTTCCCTCTCTCGTCCCATTAAAAAAGCTCCTGGAAAACTGGAGTTCCTTTGTTGGGAAACGCAACGCGATGGTGGAGATCAAGTTAGGGGAAAGAGACGGGGTGCGTAACCGGTCGTCTGTTACAGAACCGGAAGGAAATCTGTAACACAAGGATTCAGCCTTCCTCCTCGTCGTCTGATCGCAAGGCTGAAAAGGTGGGCGAACAAAAAGTGCAGCATCATTGGCGATCGCTTGCGTAATGCTTGTCCTCCGTTTTCTTTTATAATTGTCGATACAACATCGTAAAGATTTTGTATTTCTTTTCCAAGCGAATAACCCCCTCAATAGTTTATCGCTTCTCAAAGAAACGATACTTTTTCATTTCAAATAATGCATCCTAAAACCTCCGAGCATCTACACAAGTGAAATGGTGAAATTTAAATAGATTTTCCTAATCGCGGAAGAGAGGAAGCGTAACTTACCACTGTCGCGACAAGGCAAGAAAGTACTTACATAGCTGAATCGCTCGTCTCGACCCCAGTATGTAACTTTCTTTCTGTCCTCCCCTCTACGAACGATTGCATAACGAGAAATCGATCTTCGTTGCATCGATACGTATAGCGGGACAACGATATACGCAGCGTGCGGCTTGCGGTGAATTGCGTAATTTCGTTTCTGAACGATGTTTTCTACACGGGTCAGAACGAGGCCCTCCCGACGCGACTTGTCTCCAATTTACCACGAATAAGGACGATCACGATGTCCATCTTCTGTGACTGTCGTTCGTTACCCGCTAGTCGCGGCGACATTTAATCGAGTCACGACATTTGACGCGTCCAATTTCCCCCCGCTGCCCCGGCCACCTGTATATTCCCCTTGCAAAATCCTCTTCGACCAGGTTTTTTCTTCTGCCCCCAGGTTGCTTCTTCCCTCCTGCGGCGGTTGACATTTGCCGGCGAGCCGTTTGCACGTTCGATCGAGCGTCGGCTCGATGAAAGCGAATCCTTGCTCGAACGGACGAAGGACGTCGAAAGAACTTGGAAGCTTGAAACCTGAAAGAAATTTGCGAAATTAGCAAGCAAATGGCAGATATTTTAAATTTCATTCGCCGATGGTCTGGATTGTTTGACAGGTTGGTCTTTCTCCCGAAACCTATTGTGTATTCCTAAGTGTCGTCCAAAGACACCTTCAACAGGTGCGAGGAAACTGTTCGATTGTTTCGCGGTGAGATCCGATACGCTCGATAACGACCCCTCGAAAAGGCGGTCGGTCGAAGAAAGTATCGAGGGAGAACAAAAAAGAAGTAGAAGATGAGGGGGGTGGAAAAAGAAAGGCAAGGTAAAAAAAAGAAAGAAACAATGAGAAGAAAAGCGCCCTTCGAAAAGACACAGGTAAAAGCGAAATGATGCAAGATATCCGCGGTTTGACAGCCGCTAACGACTCTATTCTCTGCGCTTCGTCGAAGGGTTGCTCGTAAACCTTGGCCACTGTAAAGCGAGAGGGAAAGCTAAAGATGACAATTTTTCGCCGTGCCACACTTACAAATCGGCAAACAGAGCCGATGGATATACGCGCTTCCTCGAAACTTCTCTTCGGCTTCACTGGAGAGTGGTGATCGTCTCATTATCTCCTGGAAGATCGTGCCTCTCGATGCTTCTCCTTCCTGACAAGGATGAAATGAGAGGTTTACATTGTTCTACGACGACCTTTCCGCCGCAGTTTTCCCGTCCGATTGGCATCGATGCCTGCCGGCGTTGCGGAACGACACGAATTTATTTGGTTGCTGATGTAAGTAACGACCTTGGCTAGGATCGAAGCAACGAGAGAGGAAACGGAACCATCGTCCTTGCTACCAAAGGACGAGCATTTCTTTTTACACAGGAAAGAACCAACCCGAGTGTCAACGTTAGATCTTAATAAGCTTTCGCATGTAAACGAAGTCAACGTTTGTCGCCGGCGATCACATTCCACGACGGCTGTTTTTCGAGTCGCACTCGACAGCTCGCGATACATTTGCGCAATCGATCGCGCTGGACATTCCGATAAAATATCGAGCATCGTTTAACGGCTCGGGATTGATAGCGAGTAATTATTGCAATTTATGATTTTAATTGATGGGTCGCGGTGAACCATTGCTTCTAATTAACGAAACCGCCAGACTCGAACGTTCGGTGAATTCATTGAAACAGCCTTTCGCGATTGATAATGATTTGCCAATTTTTTTGAAACATTCGATGTTATAAGAACTTTATGTCTCCTTGAATGCGTTCTGACGAAAGACAACTCGAACCCTTTCACTATTTAAAGATAATTGAATACTTGCAATATTTTCTATGGGTGCAGTTCGGTTCGTAATTTTAGCACCGTTCGACGAAACAAAGTCTGATCCTTTCAGAGACGTCTAGACGAAACGATACGGGTGATTAAGGTTCGTTGCGTACTCGATCAATGGAGCTCGTGTTTGCTAAACGGACTCTGACCGATCGGTTTCTACCCCTGTCGATGGCGATCTTTATCGACCCTCGAGGACCACCAGCAACGAACGCGACTTTTAACAAAGAAAGCATAGATCA